CAGCAGCATTCTCGGTTCTGGTGGCCGGGCGAAAGAAGCCCAGAGCGAGTTCCTGGTGCTGATGGAAGACTCGATCAGACAGCCCGATCTGGCCGAGAGCGTGCAAAGGTACCTGCTCGCGGTTGTTGAAGCAAAGGTGAGGCTTAATCTAGCCGTATGTCCGGGCGCTTGGTTAATGCCAGCAAAGATGGTAATCAACACAGAAAGCACGGTCGGCTACAACAACAAGCTGAAACAGGCAGTGCCAGGAATGCGACTCGGGGTCAACAACGAGGTTAACCCAGACATAAAAAAAGTGGGCGTTGCCCTAATGGAAGGAAGCCCTTCAAAAATAAAAAGGCTAATCGGATCAAAGCAAACTTCAAAAACTGGTCCAGTTCATTCAAACACAGAGTCAGCTCATTCAAACACAGAGCCAGTTCACGCAAACAAAGAGCCAACTCATTTAAACACAGAGACGGCCCACGAAAACAACAAGATATGGCTCGTTACAGGTTTGGCCTTGGCGGCATTTGTGCTCAGTCACGCCGTTTCATAACGCGCTCATTGAGGAAGGCGGCAACCGCGAGGATCAACAGCCAAGCGTGTTTTCCAAGAAAGCTGATCACCTGGCCGGCTGTGCGAAAAACAAAGCTGACGACCGCGCCAAAGAGGCCTGGAAAAATGTCAGCTATTTTTTTGCCAAGCGTTTTAAGGCCGTTTCCCACGCCGTTGGCAACCTCTTTCAACCGTTTGAGAGCGAGCTAAGAATAACACCGAGGGTAGTGCCGACTGCAAGCAAAACAGCTGTAACGGTGAAGCCGTATTTTTTGAAGATGGATTTCACTTTCTCTCTGAGCCGATCTCTCAGCGGAAGCTGTTCAATTTCTCTTTCTCTTTCATTTTCGATTTCATTTCTTTCTTGTTCGAGTTCCTTTAAATTTTCCTTCGCACGTTCTCTTTCTGCAGAGGGTCTATTTTCGTCATTCATGATTTCCTCTTGTTCTTCAATTTCGCGTTGTATTTCCTGATCTCTTTCTTGCCTTACTTCATCATTTTTTTGAAGCTCTTCTAAAGCTATTGTTTCGGAAGGTTGGTAATTGCCCTTTTTTAATTGATCTAGTTCTTTTGTCAGAGCAGTTCGTTCATCTGTTTGCCTTTTCGCCCTTTCACGGGCCTTATTTCTTTCAGTTTGGCTGACACTTGAGTCTTCTGCAACTTGTTTATTGTCTTTAATGCCGTTTGACAGCATTTTTATTTTTTCTTATTACAGTCGAAATCTCCACCTGTCGCCATAGCAATATATTTGAATTCTGTTATTTTTAAATTAGAAAAATAATCGCAGGCGTATTATACAATGTCAGTGCCAGAGAACCTTCGCTCAAGTTACAACGAAAAGACATTACGCGCCATGCAGGCCGAGCGCGCGGTTAAGCAAATCACCTTTTACCGCTCTGAAGCCAACCCCGGCGATACGCTGTTTGTTTCAGTGCCCAAGCTGAACGAGAACGAGGTTCTGGTGCCGGGCTCGCTAGCGCTTGTCTTTGACATCGACCTTTCTGGAGGGCACGCCAACAATTTCCTTGTCCAGAACTTCACGCGGGCGCTCGTTGACAGGCTGGTCGTGAAGATTGCAGGCGAAATCCTGCAAGACACGGTTGGATATGGCATCTACAAAATCTTTGTTGACCTTTTCCTTTCGCAGGAAAAGCGAGACAGCATGATTCTCGAAGGGATTCAGAGCGAGGATCTATGCAAGATCCGCTCAGGCGCGGGGGACAAGAAAACCTCCGACGTCGACGCTGAAAACAAGCTGAACGATGTATACGGAAGCAAGTACCGGATCAGGAATAACCATCAGATCTTAACTGACCACGGCGTTTTCTACCCCCAGGCCCTTTACAACGACCTCGTTTTCGAAGTAACCCTTGCTGAAGCTAAAAATGTGGTCAGAGGCTCCGACACAACCCAGCTAAAATACAAGCTGACCAACATCCAGCTCGAGTTCGAAATGCTACGCAGCAAGACTCTGGCAGACGAGGCACACAGCTTTTACTCCAGCGGCAAAGAGTTCGCCTATGACCACGTGATGCGTTCCGAAGTGGTGACGTTCAAAAAAGAAACTAAAACGAGGATCAACATCAAAGTCGACGCCCAAAAAGATCGCTAAAAGCCATCCTCCTACTGTTCATAGAGCCGTATGTCAAGGGCGCCAGGGATTCAGGAAAATACGTCTTCCCGGATCTGACGAAAGTCAGCGTAACGATCAACGGCTCGCGCAACATGATTTACAACAGCGGCATCGAAGGCAAGGACATGTGGGAAGAGGCCCACCGCTTCTTTGTGAAAGAAAAAAATAAAACCGTGCACATGAATGCGACAAAGTTTTACACCGATGATAAGTTCGGGCTTGTGGTTGATATGCGCTCCATGGCGGATTAGTCGATGCACGGCAGCGGCAAGCGCATTGTGAACAGTACGGACGGTGTCCAGCTGGAAATTGAGCGGAAAGCCGAAGGCTCAGGCGGCGTGAAATGTCATGTATTCGTCATCTCCGACTCCCAGTTCAACATTATGGACAGACAGCTAGAATCTGTGCAGAATTGAATATTGACATGGACCCAAGCAAGATACCCTTCAACGCTCTCATTGTGGGGCCGACTAATTCAGGCAAATCAAGGTTTGTGGTGGACCAGATCTACGGCCCTTCCCGCTTCAAGTTTGACTACATCGTTCTAATCTGCCCGACATTCGCACACAACAAGACCTACCACAGAATTGGTGAAAATGATCCAAGAATGAATGTGATAGTATACGAGCAGCACCACGTGGAAAAGTGGTTGAAGCTAGTGAGATGGCTTTTCGAGGGCACCAACACGTTCATAATCCTCGATGACTGCGCAGCCTCCAAAGATGTGAAAGGGCGTACAGGCGGGCTGGTGAATCTAGCTTTTTCTGCTCGACATATGGGCATCAGCGTTTGGGTGCTGACTCAGAAGATGACCGGCATAACAGCTTCCTTCCGGGAGAATGTGGCGGCGATCGTTCTCTTTTATACCCCCTCGGCCAAGACCACGAAAGCCATTTTTGATGATTACGCTGGCGAACTCTCTCAGGATGAGTACAAAAGGTCTGGTTTCAAAGCTGAAAGAGCGAAAATTCTCTTATCTTGTGTTCTCGCTTCGCCACCCCTACGGGGTAAAGTTATTTTGAATAAAAAAAATGAAAG